GGATGGCAAGAGCTTTGTGGAGCTGTAAGTTGTCTCTTTACGTAGATAGAAAGTAAAAAAAATACTTCCTCTGGTTTACTTTATTAATCACTTTTTAGAGGGATGAAATGGTTCATTTTACAAGTTTTTAAATTGACGGTAATGTTTTGTTTCAAATAAAATGTCTAAATTATCTTTAAAAAGTAAGAGAGAAAAAAATAAAAAAATAATATTATATAGTTTATTTACTTTTTGAAGGTTATGCTTGTAATGTTATTAAATTTTATTTTTTATACTTTTTATTATATTGGTATTGATAAAGATTGAAATGATTTATAAATAAAATTGAAGAGAGTATTGAGTTTGAGGTGGCAAGAACTTTGTGGCGCTGTAAGTTGGTTGTCTCTTTACGTAGATAGATAGTAAAAAAGAATAGTATCTGGTAGCATGCCTGCATTTTTAGCAAAGAAAATTATAAATAACGACATGCTTCAGCAAATAATTAATTAGGACTACAAAGTTATGAAATTACATTTTAAGATCATAGTCTTTTTTTTTATTAGTTTTAAAAATTATACTTGACTAAACTTGCAATTGACTAACTTCAAATCACTTTATTTGAACTGAAAACATTTTTATTTCTTAACTTATAATTTATAAGGCACAGATATTTCAAATCATCTCATGTATTTGTATCATTGATATTTCTTCAATACATATTTAGAGTATTGAAATATTTTTTAATTTTAAAAAATTTTATTTTTTGACATATGTATGATATTTTTAAATTATAAGTTGATATTTTAAAGCTATTTTTAAGGAATTAAATTTTGTTAATTATTGTGGTATTAATTTTTTTCTTCATAATATATTTTTGTAATTTGCTTTTAGAGTCAAATATTAGATTTTCCTTAAAAAGTAAGTTTTAGATATAATAAAAAAATAACAAATATATTGTTTTAATTATAAAAAATGTATGAATATAATTTTTTGGCTCATAAACTCTAAGTAGAAAATTATTAGCAGATACTAAGTGATGGACAATTAGGTGGAGGCAAAATAAAAGTACAATTAATGATTATGTTTTGCTTAGTATTACTATAAAGGATTACATATATATGTTAGTTTGGATATTTTTTAGACCTGCAATTTCCAACTTAAAATTTAGTAGCACTAAAATCACTTTAACCAAGTTGGAAATTTAATTGAAGTGGGTTATGTGAGTTGGAAAAAGAAATTATTTCTAGACTTGCAAATGGTTAACTTAAAATTTGTTAGTATTGAAATTATTTTAATTGGGTTGAAAATTTAATTTAAAGGGCTTATGAAATCACCTGTTGAGTTGGAAAATTTTTAACTCCATACTTGCCAACTTGATCAATAAGGATATTTTAGTTAAATTATTATTTTTTAAAATTACAAAAAAGGACCATGGTCCTAAAACTTAGTTTCGTAATTTCGTGCTCTTGTGTTTTTTTGTTATAATTTTCTCTTTTTAAAATTATGAATTTAGTTTCATGTAATTTTTAATGTTGTTTGTTCACCTTATCAATCCATATAGAACATAGAAATATTTTTTTAAATTAATGAGCATTCTGGACTTTAAAATATCATATGAAAAATACCTTAGATCCTAAACTCTTAAAATATATAAAATGAATCTTAAACTTTTAAAGTTAGAGCAAATCACCCCTACTATTAACTTATACAAAACTGCCATTAACTATTGACTTTGTGGGGTTCAATTAAATGTTGATATGATAGTCTCTTAATGTGCCATCAGTTAATGAGCACTATAGACTTTAAACTATTGTGTGAGTAATATCTTGAACCCTAAATTCCTAAAATATGTAAAAAAAATTTTAAACTTTAAAATTTAGAGTAAATTACTCCCATCATTTTAATGATATGTCATCCCTCCTCACATATTAACGGTGCCCTCATCTCTCAACCTTTACTCAATATGTCGGTTGAGGTATTCGAGGTAACACTGGCCGCATCTCTCTCAGTTGGCTTTGAGCATCTTTATAATGCAAGAAAGAATTCAGTCTTTGCAGCCTCAATTGTTGCTTGAATCTATTGATCCATTGTCTATAAAATCTTCAATTTTAAACCCAAATTAACTAGTTAATTAAAATTCTTTGATACTTAAACTTCATTTCAAATGAGATCCTAAATTTTTATCATTAAATAAATAAATATTATTTAAAATAAGACTAAATTAGAGTTATAAAATATATGAAAGTATGAGATACCAATCGTTTGGAACATTGCAAAAAAAAAAGAGCAAAAAATGTTATTTAACAAAATTCTGGGTCATTTGCTGTGACCACTGATGTGTTCGCCACAACAGACTACACTGAGACTAATTTAATTTACATAATACTTAACGTTTTATGCATAAACAATTAGGACAATTTGCTCTAAATTTCTAAGTTTGAGGGAGTTTCTGCACATTTTAAAAGTTTAAGGTTCAAGATGTTATTCGAGCAATAGGGTTTATGGTGCTTATTAACTAATAAAATATCAACAAGGGAATGTCACATTAGCATTTGATTGGACCCCATAAAGTCAACAGTTAACAGTAGTTATATATAAGTTAATGGTGGGAGTAATTTGCTCTGCATTTAAAATTTTAAGATTTATTTTACATATTTTAAGAGTTCAGGATTAAGGGTGCTTTTTACACAATACTTCAAGATCCAAAATGCTCATTAACCCTATTTTTTGTCCCAAAAAAAAACATTGATGGATTATGCAAATTTCTTGGGTTGTGTATTTATATATATATATATATATATATATATTGTCATGGATTATTTGAATTCCTTCAACATATTTTTATATATAAATAGGTTTAAAATTTAGATACTAAAAATATGGTTACTATTTTTATGAAAGTTTTAGGCTATTTTCTTGCACTTATTCCAGTGTCCAGTCCTTTACATAAATACTGATTAAGAAAGGATATTTATATTGTTAAAATTGTTAAAAATATATAATTTTTCAATTTTTCCTTTTTTTAATTAATAATCATATTAAATATTTGTCTAAAAGTTCAAACCATAATAAATTTATGAGGGATAAAAATTAAAAAAATTAATTATTCTAACTTTACCTTATATTAAACATATTTTTTTTAAAAAAAAATTGCCTTAAAAGACCTAAGGAAGTATTTGATAGAAAAATATTTCCTCCAATATCACATTAATTAATTTAATTTGAACTTTGACATCAATGGATAGTAAATGAATGACAGGGTAATAATAGTCATTTTACTATATAATTTTAAATATCTTCATTTTAACGGCTTGTCGCCATCTAGTATCTACTGTAGTGATGAGTAAGATGCTCACAAGCAAGGTTGTTAAATTTATGAGTTTAAATAAATTCATGACAGAAATATAAACTCGTATCGTAAACTCAAATTGTAAACTCATAAGAGTTTACCTCTATTAACAGATAACCATTAAAATATAACTATAATTTAATTTAAATATATTAAAATATAAATTATTAAAATTAAACCCATCTATATAAATAAATTATTATCTACAAGATATAAAAATTTTAAAATAGGAGAACTTATTTTTGATATTTTTGTTTTCTTTTTTATTAACATTAGTTTTTGCATTTCAAGTTTTTTTTTTTGAATCAAGTCCTATAACTTTTATGTATTGAATTTTTTATAATATATACTTAATTCACTTAACCAAAAAAAAATGACAAGTTTAACAAATTTAACCAAATTTGCATCAATCTGAATTTATAAATTAACTAACACAATTTTGTAAGTTAAAAATGTAAAAACGGTAAACTCACAAGTTTAATTGAATTTATATCTAATTTGAATTTATGAGTGAGTTAACAAAATTTTGTAAGCTGAAAACGTAAAAACGTTAAACTCGTAAAATCAACTTGAAAGTTTGACAACTATGTTTACAAGGGCTAATAAAATGACTTTCAGGGCTATTTAACCTAAATTTCTTTTGGAAAAATTAATTCAGGTCAATGGACCTTGTGATATTTATATTGTAAAAGACTTTGGATATAAATCTCCCATTTTTTTTCAATTGTTACATTCTCTTGTGAGATTTACTGTTTGAAGTTGTCACTCGCAGAAATATAGACCCCACTTTTTCATTGATATCAAGTAACTAACAGGAAGTGATTCATTGAGCATTATTCTTAATTCTTTGGTCACAGAATATTTAAGCATGTTCATATCCATTTGTTTGGTAAGAAATATTCATTCCATTGTTCTGTGATAATGTAAAATCTCATGTATCTAATAAGATAACTATTTTGATTAAGAAAATTATTTGAAAAGACTAAAGTAAAAGTCTTCCACATTTGAAAAACTAAATTGGGAAAAAATAATTTTAATAATTAAGTTAAACAGATGTATTTTCACATGATTATATAAAGTTAAATAAATTTCAAAGCACAAAATTACTACTTCTACTAATAACATCATCATCATCATCATCATCATCATCATTAGTATCATTATCATTATTATTATTTTCCTTTTGGAGAAGGGGAGTGATCCTCGGTATCTTACCTGTTTCCCATGTCAAGCATTGCTAAAAATTCAGTTTTATCGCCTGATATAATGGCGATATCACTTGTGATCAAGAATAATTAAACATTCTGAACGTTTTTTTTTTTTTTGAGGGGGCGACATCCTAGCAATTGCCATTTGTGGCAGTTACAATTCAATAATTAAAACCAACAATATCAAATCTCCAAAGGATATAATTGAAAACCGGGATCATCCCACCTGGTTGAACTGTTAAACCATTGAACCAGTGTCTCAATTAGTTTCACAAAATGTTTTAATCATAATTGGTTTGATTACAGTTCGATTGCAATTTTGGCTATTAACCATAAACCCGTGTCTTGACCAGTTTAATCATCAATTTAGTTTTCAATACCTTGCTCCAAAGTGATTTCATAATTAATCAACGCTCTTGGGGTATATGAACAATTAAAGAAGTCAGAAAGGAAACATGCATCCATTTAAAAAAAAAAAAAATCATTCAAGGGGGAGAGCTGGAAAATGTCATTAATGAAACATAAATGCAGCTTTCTGTACGTTAAAATGCGAATGAGGTTACGCAGCTTTGTTCATCATATATCCTGTCCTGCTGCTCAGCCTGATAGACCTCTTTCTAAATTCTATATGCATTTCCCCACAGAATTTTTTAAGGCCGGCAAAAAAACGCAAACATGCCAGTTTAGTACCGACACGTGATAGTGTCAACGTCTCCAAAAAATAAACGCAAACAAGAAAATGATAGTAAAAAGCATGCCTGCATATTTGATCCATTGGTCAACACGATGCCGTCTCTCAATAAGCCTCAAAACGGTAGTTGATATCCCAACTGTATTGATGATATCTAACGCTTTCCGTTGTGCACCCTGCACCAACATAGAATTCAAATAAAAACATCACTAATAATCACGTGTGAAGAACCTCTCAAATGACCTCCAATGGAGAAGCAAGCACCTAACTGAAAACATCAGATCCACAACACACCGGAGCATAACAACTTTTTTTTTTTTTTTTTGAAAAAACGGAGTATGAAATTCCTGGCGATGCTATCCTATTATTTCATAAAATGCATTGCACTTGAGAAATATACTAAACTCCAGTTTCATAATTTCCCCCAACTTAAAAGGCAAGGTTCAATATACAACAGAAAGCTGGCGACAAATTCTTTACATATCATTATACATTAGAGTATATAAAGATAATGTAAAATGAGGAATTAAAACTTTCTGCTGCTCAAATATTTTGGAACCAAAAAAGAGAGAAGAGAAGAGCGACCAGAAACTTCCCCTGCCAATGCATCTTATAACTGCTGAACAGTAGCTTTTCAAACAATTACCATATACAATGGTAATGCTGCTCCTAACAGAAACCACTTGGTACAAGTCTCAACCATAAAATATCACATAAAAAGAATCTCCCAATAGCCATGTAATGGCAATATATCTACAATTCATACCATCAATTAGTTATGCAATCTTATGTCCCAGCAGACATTGATCTTTCTGCGAATGACATGTTTCTACAGCAGCATGTCATATGCGAAAAGGAGCAGGGAAGATACCTTTAAGCGTTCCCTTTGCCCATGTATTGAGGACAGGACGGACTCCCCAAGTGCATTAGCATTTTCCAGCTCCCTTGAGGAATTACGAACTGACTGCATTGCTTGTGCCTCCTCGTCAAAAATTCTCAAAATGTGAGCAGAATCCCCATTCTAGCAAAATAAATGAAGTTGTTATGTCGCAGAGGAAAATCAGCAAGCCACTAAACCAGAGCATGACAGCAAGTACATACAGCTCGTCCCAGCAGTTCTGCCCTCTCCCTAGCTTCTGTCATTCGTTTTTTGATTTCTGAAGTTATATTTATCCAAACTTTCTCTCAATGATTCACCCTCCTCAGCTATTTGTTCTACTTTTCTGCATGCAGAAAGCACAAATACCCCGCATCAAGATCCTCTATAACAAGGATACAGCAGTAAACCAAACAACAAAAACTGGGGACCCATAAGAACACGACATAAAATTTAAATATGAAGAAGAAACAAATAACAAATATTTTATGGTTTGGTATGAACAAATATACAAGTCAAAACTAGTTCCTTCAAAGAGAAACCAACTAAAATTGCCAGTGTTCATTAGTACGGAGGAATAACGAACTGGCCTCCATGCAAATGATAAACTATATCATAAATAAAGTGTATAATAAATCATTTGGAAGAAATCTTAAGTATCTGCCATTGAGCTAATAGTTCACATGGCAACGACCTTCTTGTTTAAGATTGAGATGAGATTGACATTTTGGATTTAATCCCTAAACTTCCCTTCGTCACTACACCCCCAGGTCATGGGCTAACAGAACGACAAAAATTACAAGTATCTTCCATAAAGCTGGATTAGCAAGACTCAATTAACAATATCTTTGGAAGTTCGTTGAAAATGCCAAGTTGTCAACATCATAATAAAGGCATTGGAGGATGAGATCATTTAATTTCAAGTCTATCAAGTGTATTGCTAATAATGGAGGGGGAGCAGGGAAGCTTTTACAGACATCATTTGTAATTTTGCATCATCACTGCAAGTTGTGCCATCCAATGAGTATCAATTTGATGTTTCATCATTTGTATAAGCTATTGTCCAAGTAAAGTATTTAAGGGTCCTAATATAGATCCAAAATATGCATTTCCTTGCCATACCTTGGTTTGTGAAGAGTGGACATTAAGCAGGAAACTATTCAAAGTGAACCGATACACTATCGATATCCCTAAGCTAACTTTCGCATTAGTTCACAGAGTCTAAGATATTTGCATCAGATGCATGTTAATATTAAAAAGAAATGTGAAATCACATCAAACATTATCACACAGAATAATTCGAGTTTTCTTTTCTCTTCAGAATTAGGGGAAAGCTGGAAAGGCCCATCAAGGAGCACAAGAAACGTGATTCCTCTTTGAATTCAGTAAGACGACAAGTGTATCAAATCTGGATCCATTAAAATTCAAGAACACATCATCTATAGAATAAACAAATTGTAATTCAAACATTATTACAAACTTACGCAACAGTAAAGTAATTTGTTCATCCTGATTTCATGAATATTACATGATCTTTATAAATCAATCTTTCTCACATGCAAATTTATCTGATGAATAAACCCTAAAATAATTGAGTCCAAGAAGAAATTTCACCATAAAACAGAAAATGATTAACTCGATGAACGGGAACCGAACCATCGAAATGAAGATAAACAGCGAACATCTAACCTGGACGTTAAACGAGAAATGAAGATTCGTGCTAACCTTTTCCAGAGATCGCGTTGAGGCTTAGCAGCGATGGATCGCCAGAGGCGGTCCATCTCAGCACATAGGGATTGGATCTGAGTAATATCCTTCTTGACGGCGAAGGCGAGCTCGGTATCCATGCCCGCTGTAGAAGTGGAGTACTCCAGCCGCTCGAGGCGTCGAGGCCATCGCGGGTCCTCAGCAAGATCTTCTTCGCGCTTTGGTAAATCTCCGATAGGGTTCCTCCGCTTCCGTCCATGACCGTGGTCCTGAGAGCTCGGGTGGGGGGCCGAGAGAGAGGGAGAGAAGTTACGGATATTTTCATGTGTCAGAGGAAGAAGTGCCGAAGAATTCCGGAGCAACGGTTAATACCCGTAACTTCAAAGAAACCCGAAACGAAACGGGTCACTAGTAATCGGATCTTGATAGATGATGCGTGATTGGATCATTTGTTTTTTTGGGCCTTGAGTCCAATAATAGAATAATATTGGACTTCTAGTTTAAACTTTCTTTGGGTCAGATGATGAACGTGAAATACGCCTCTTTCTTATTGTGAAATATATGCAAAAATTGTTCTATTTAAGTATTTCTTTTGAGTTTTTTTTAAATTTTATTTAAGTTTAATTCAGTCAATCTTGACACATCTACCTATATAAGTGGCTTTTGACTAATTTCTCTTCCTAGCCATGTGTCTTGTCTTTTTTTTTTTTTTTGGTGATAGATGTGTCATGTGTCCTTCCCCCCCTTCTTTTACCTTTTAACAAACTCTCTTTTTTATTCACTTAAAAAAACATTTCATTTAACTAGTTGAGGAAGGTAAATCAATTTATTTTGGAATCCAAGATGCAATTACATTAAATAAAATGTCAAAGGCATTTTTAGGTTAATTGTGAAACCATCATTGATAATAACAGTCCCTCACAACAAGGGATTATGTTAATCTAAAAAGGCAGTGGTAATGTCTTTAGGCTTCTTAAGAAACTAAGCAATGGAATAAAATAAATATCACTTTATTTTCTTTCACAACATGCATTCATTACAATTTTCATTTGTAATCATACCTTTAATTTTTTATCTATTTAGTTTACTTGATTTCGACATTTTCAAGCACCCGTGGCTAGCAGAATTAGTTGCTGCTTGTTCAGCTCTTAGCTAGGATCCAATTTATTTACCTAAAATGTCTACAAATTAAAGCTTTCTTTGAAAGCAAATCCGAATCATAATATTAAATTTTAGACAAAGATATTCTCAACCTGAAAGGGAATTACTAATATTATCACTTAATATCGTTCTTAATTTTTGAAGTATTTCAATATTGAATCACAAAAAAAAAAAAAAATACTAGGCTTACTTCAATATTTTAAAATCACACTTATCACCCTTTTCGTGGTCAAATTTTTCTTCTGAGAGATGACAATTCTGATGAAGTTCTTTATACCACATACATACATACATACATACATACATATATTTTGTGACGAAAGAATTGTACCACTGTTTTACTGAAAATTATTGAATCGGTTAAGTTGAGCGTGCATGATTCAGGTGTTGATGTCAAGAGATTTGGTTAAGTCAACTAACTAGCTACCACATGCAAGTATAACACGCTTTAAACCTATCCTCTTTATTGTGTTTTTATTTCCGTCTCTTGTTTGTTAGTGTGAGTTTTTTTTTTTTTGGGGGGGGGACTTGATAGTACAAGAATTTCGAATCAATTGTTTTATAATAAAGGATATTTATACACAAAAAAAAACAATAATTTTAAATTTTGAATGATGTAATACGCTATTTTTAAATATTATTCTACCACATCAGATAAATTTTATTTATTGCAACATATAATTCCTCATAATTAAGAATTAAGCAGATAAGAAACTACAGGATAAATAAAGCATATTGTAACCTAGAGAAGCAGTGAGGGGATAATTATTGGAGGATTAGCTCTTTTTTTTGGGTCAAATATTGGAGGATTAGCTTGATGTTATGTAAAGTAAAGATTGATCAGGCGATGTTTGGTATGGATAAAAAGTTTTTTTTTTAAAGCAATGAGATAATTTATTATATGTTTGGTTAATTAAATTACTAAGGAATGGATGCTTCCTCGTGCAAGGAAAGCTAGGAACCAGGCCTCCTCCACCAAGCGTTGGAGGGAGAGAGATATTTTTTTTTAAAAAAAATCTTTTGTTCTTTTTTTTTTTTTTAAATAATTCTTTATTTAGTTTGAAAGAAGAGAGGGATTTTAGTGATTTTTTGTTTAAAATATACCTCCCCCTCCAATTAAGGTTTTTTAATAAAAAATAAAAAATGACCATTCCCATTTTCTCCATTCAAAAAGCTTTCAACTATGGATAAAAATAGGCTAAGTTAAGTTAGAGTTTGATTAAATAAGTTTGAGCTTATGTGATAAATTACCTAAAGTTTGTATAAGATTTTTTTTCATCTCAACTCAAACCTAAGCTTATCTAAAACCCTATTAAAAGTAAGATTTTTAAACAAGCTTGTATTTTAATTTTAAACGTCTCAAATATACTTTAAACTATTATAATATATAATATATAACTTAATTTATTAATTAAAATATATAATAATTGAAAGGACTTACTAATTATAATATAATATAATAATAAAATAATAATATTAAGATTAATATATAAGTTTAATATGATTAAAGATATAACTAAAAATAAAAAAAGATAGATTGATTACAAATTAAATTATGATATATATATATATATATATATATAGGTCGGCCGGCTTGTTGGCTCCTAAGTTAGCCCTTGAAAAAAATAGACCTAGCCTATTTACTATATAAATTTAATTAAAAACCTGAATTTGATCTAAGCTTATTTAATAGTAAACTAAACTAAGCTTAAAGTAAGTTAGTAAGTTCCTATTAAAGCCTGACCTATAATGGTTTTTTTTTTTAGGGGGGGGGTAGTGTTTCCTACCATATAAACAATGAATTGGTGATTTTGTTTTGAGTTATTAAACGTTTTGACTATTTTATCAATTCTTAATGTAAAGTATTTTAGTTTTAAAAATAAGTATTATTTTGTATAAATATTCAAATGTCATTTAATTTCTAATAAAATATTAATATTTGAAATAATGCCTATAATTTTGGAGACTCAAATTTCTATTTTGAATTTGTTCTCTATAATTTATTTTGTTTTAATCAAATTCTCATTATTTGATCAATTAGATATGTTTAATTCCTAAATGTTGCAATTATTAATTAATAATTAATTTTTTCAAAACAAAAGCACTTTTGAAGCTTATAAATTTGATGTAATACTTTTGGCCAAAAAGAAAAGAGTAAAATTGATTTAATATAATTCTTACATTTTTATTAAATGTCTTATGAGAACGCTGTATGTATAGAAATTATTTAAAACACAAAACCTAATTTTATAAATTTTGGGTCATAAAAATTATGTAAATAATTCTAGAATTATATAATCTTTTAATAAAAAATATAAGTGATTTTGACTTCATTTTTTAAAAAGAAAAAAATTCATGGATTATAACATTCACAAATTAATAAATTTAATGGATTAAACTATAAAGGCACAATTAAAATAAGTTACAAGGAGTTGCAAAATAATTCTTCCTATTTAATTTATATGATGATCGTAAAGGCCGATATGCATCATTGTTTTGTAGCCTTATATTTTGGTGGGCAAATTGGTATATATGTTAATTAAATGAGGACAAAATTTTTATTTTTATTTTTTTACACTTATACTCCCGCTGTTCAAAATATAAGACATTTTTTGAGGAGTTGGATGTTTAAAAATGTAAGATATTTTTAGTCTTTCGAGCTGTAATCATTTTCTTTTTTCAAAAATGTCCCGATTGATAATGACTTATATTTATTATAGGGTGTTTAATAAAAATAAATATGAAAAGATGAGGTTAGTTGGAAAGTAGGTAATTACTTTAGTGGGAGGTAAAATTTAATTAAAAATGCCTTATATTTTTAAATGAAGGGAGCATAAGGTTTTATTTTGATCATTTATCTTATAAAAGGTATTTTATATCCTTTAATTCTAATACATTAATTTCATTAACAAAAAATCATTACATTGCAAATATTGATATATTAAGTGTTATTAAAAACTTTTAAAAATTATTAACAAAACATTATCAAATGTTAATATATTTTAGTTTTAAATATATAAAAAATTTATCAATATTGATACATTAACTTTGAAAGAGACTTTAAAAATTAAATGACCAAACTAAAATCTTATGTAAAATTATTAGAAACAGACATTAATGTTAGGGTTAGTATTGATAATTTGTACAACTAGATGTGAGAATGCCTAAAAATTAAACGCCACTATCTTTCTTAGATTCCTTAGAACTTTCGCGCCGCGAGAAATTGATTACTCATGATGATTTTGTTGATAAACTTATGATTTTAAGACTTCCCAAAAAAGAAAAGGAATCTTTCAGAGCCAATACAGACACGA